GGGGGGGGGGGGAGGCAGAGGCCTGCGTTACCCACCCCGCCTCGTCGTCGACGCACCTGCGCTGCCGCGGCCGCCAAAAATATCGAGTCGTACGCGAAGGCCAGGACGGGGTCGATCAGCCCGTCCGCGGTGACCCCGTCGGGCCCTGCACCGGGGTACTCGTTCGCGTCAAGCCGCACCCACTCTTGCGAGAGCTCTTCTGCCATCGTCGCCCCATCCCCTGAAAAAAAGAGCAAGACAACAAAGACAAAAGAGGCAGACAAGATGGGATGGGGGGCACGTGGACGCGGAGGGAAGGCGGGAGGGGGAGGGGCGGGTGAGGGGAGGCACACGCGGAGCAGTCGCCGCCGCCAAAGAACGGTGATCAACACGTCGTGAACGAAACGTTTTGGACAAGCAGACGCTGGTAAAATAAACGCGCCGGGAATGATACACCGCAATAAATCAACACGCGAAAAGACGCAAACAGCACAAAGCCGGCACAAAACGATACTGGCAGAAACAGCTCCTGCAAAATTGGTTACAGTTGGAGAACCTTGGGGCGGAATAGGCAGCGGGGACGCCAGAGTCCGACAAATGACAAAAGCCTAGAGAGACGCCGGAAAAAAGGTCGCGCCAGAAGGCCGGGCCAGAAGATCAAGACCCAAGAAGAGAGCTACCAAACCTTGCCTGTGCGGGGCGTGCAAGCCCGAACGCCGAGCGCCCCTCGCATGTCGAAGGCGAGGCTCGCGTCGCGGTACGTGGAGTTCCGGTCGAAGACGTGGTCGAAGGCCGCCACGTTGGGCAGGTACCACTGCACCCCCTCCGTCAGGCCGGCCTCGTTGGCCTGAACGATGCCGCCGCGGTGCGCACGCAGCGCCAAACCGGTCAAATGTCAGCAGCAGAAGCAGCAGCAGCAGCAGCAGCAGCAGAAGCATGTCCAGCGTGATCGACAACAACAGCAGGGACAGTGGCAGCGGAATCGGGGGGCAAGCATGCATCAAGCCGGAGCAATGTCAGCAGCAGCAGCAGCAGCAGCAGCAACAACAACAACATGACCTGTGCGTTCGACAGCAACAGAAGCGGCAGCGGAATCGAGGGGCGACGAGCTCAAGCAGAGGCCCCAGGCCCAAGAGACGAGCATAAGAAACACATGCCTCCACGCCGGGGGTGGGCGGGAAGCTTAGAGACCTGAGTAGGGGGTACGCGACAAGGACAACAAGCAGCAACGCCTCGCTCGCTGACGTATGTACCGAAACGCTCTCTTCTTCCGCACAACGGGAGGGGCGCGCGAGCACACACACACACCCGCGGAGCGACGATACAAAGCTACCGAAATGCCAACACGCCCCAAAACGCCTCGTCTCGCAGTGACAAAGGGTTGAAAATGTCCTTTCACTCAAGCCGCCCGTAACGCAACCAGCCCTAATCGACAAAAGCGTGCAAAAATACACGCCACGTGCCGCCCCCCACCGGAGCTCTCGTGTATCGACCGCTGTAATCTTTTTAGCCCCTTCATTCATCACCACGCTGAGCCCGCTGATCAATGAACCATCTATAAATTCGTCACTAGTTTTTTGGGGGGTACAACGCGAACGGGCACTGGGCGGGTGTGTGTGTGTGGTCTTCAACTACCATCGACGGCCCAAAACGGAGGACCGTCTGTGTGCACGTAGGCATCTCAATTCCCTTGCTGTTGCTTACCATCACTGTCGTGCACACGCCGCCATTTGTTCCCCCTCCCCCGGTGTTTGCCATCGGGGTTGGGTTTTCGTCGCTTGGCAGCGATGTTGTTAAACAAGCCGATCACTTCGTGAGCTCGACAAACAGGTCCCACCGCTTTCTTTACCTTTTGTTTGTTTTTGGCGGTAACCATGAATGGTGGTCGAGTAGATCATGTTGTGCGGGGTCGAGAACCCTCACTCCGCGCATGTTGTGCTAAGATGGTCAAGCACCCTTAAGGCACTTACACAGTGGCTACAACCGTCTCTGGAAGTGAAAGCACCAGAAAATAAAGCAACTCATACGCAGCTGTCATCCGTACGCAAGTGAGCACAACATGCCGAACACCTTTAGCAGGATGCAGCGCACTATTCATGCGACTCGCCGAATACCTCACGGCGCTTCGCGCTTGGTGATGTGAGAGCCTGGTCCGGTGAGAACCCGGCGTGCTC